TGTCTCAACTCCCTTATGCTCTACAGGCTATACGAAAATTTTTATAATCCATCCCCCAGTTTTTTTTCCCTATCCAACTTTGGGTTACGCCCTATTTTCTACCCAAAAATAAAGATATTGTTTTTTGTTGGGTCCCGGTCATGTTTTGAGCAGGGCAAAGGAAAAGGCCCGACCCCTGCTGCCCGGGGCAAACAGTATATGGGGCCCACCAAATTTCCTAACGAGGTGTTCCATTTCGGACTAATTTGCTGCAAAGTACCCCCCCTTCGCACCCCTTGGGAACAACGTTTGGGAACTCTGCCGGTAAAAAAACTTCCCCTTTTTTTAAAAGAGCCTAAAGGTTTTTGCCCCTCCCTTTTTGTCATCGTGCCAGGTTGGGGGACCAATTCTCCCCCTTCCCCATTGGCCCCCACTCGTCTTACTCATGGGGAATCTCATGGGGAGGAAACCCCCTTTCCCCCCTGGAGCCCTTTTCAAGTTCCAGTATCGATTGCCCCATTTTTTGTTTAATGCCCCTTTTCCCATCAGCAGCACGCAAAAATTTTTCCTTCCAAGTCGTCTTCGTCTCCTACTTCTCTTTACCTTTTCCCCCCTTTCTTTAAGGGCCCCCCTTTTAAACCTGAACCTCTCATTGACTTCTTTACAACGACCTTTATTTACTCCACAAAAATCTGTGAACTTTTTGCACTCCCCCCGCCCTTTGGTTCAGTCTCTTGCTTCCCTTTACCCCTTTTACCATCCCCCTTCCCCGTTTACCGAAAAACCCGTTTTTTCCTTTCCCCTCCCTTTTTTCCAAACCCATTGCCCCCCCGCTTCCTTCCCGCCCCGCCCGCGCTGTAAAAGCCTTGTTTGGGTTAGCCCCTTCTTTTTATTATAAAATAATAATCGGGAAGGTAGCCAGGGCAAGGGATACACAAAAGGCCCCGGGGGCTAGGCCCCCCAAAAAATTAAAAAATGTGTACCAAAAGTTTTTTTTATCCCAAAATCTGCAGTTCACTTATTTTTTTTTTTTTTTTTTTTGTTTTTTCAAAAAAAAAAAATGGAAAAATTTTTTATTAAAATTTATATCTTAAATTTTCAAAATAAGATATCTTTTACTTTTTCCCCATGGTTATTAAACTGTTCCCCCTGTAATTTCCCCCAATAAGTGGACAATTTTAAAACATATGTTCAAGACATGTACCAAGCCGATCCATTTAAATTTTCATTTAGTTTGGGTCATCATCTGTTGTCAGGGTAGCTGGAGGGAAAACGGGAAGAGGAAAAAGGGGGTCCAAAGTTTTTTTTTTTTATAGGTCCCCATAGCCTGGTTTTACCTTGCCCCTTAAGACTTTTTTTTGTAAAACGTTTAAGTTCAAGGGCCCAAGGGAAAATAGTCACTGACGTTTTGGGCTTTTTCCTTTGTTGTTTACATTGTGAAAAGATTTATTTATTAGGGTTTTCCCGTACCGAAAAAGGGTAACCCTAAATGTTTTATGCTTTCCCTTTTGATAATTTTTTTGTAACTAAACCTAACCTAATAAACTTAAAAAATTTCCCGGGATGGGGTTTTTTTTTCCCTTTAAAAATTTAAATTTTCCCGACCCTTTTTGAATGGTTCACTTGGTTTAAACCCCTTCCCAACTGCGTACGTTAAGGGAGTCTACACACCCACCCAAAAATCAGACTCCATGCCCCAAATGCACAAATTTGGGAAGTAAATTAAGTTTTAATTTAAAGGGCATCCAATTAATTGGGGAAGGGAGGGACCCAAACCATTTGGGGGCCCTTTGGGGGAAAAGGAAAATAAGTCACTATGGGGCCTTTTTTTTTTTTTTTTGGGGGGGGAGGTGGGGCTTCCCAAAGGGGAATTTTTATATTATTATATAAGACAATTTTTGATAGTTCCCAAAAATTTTAAAATTTTAGCCAAATAACCCCTTTAAGAGAGATTTTTTTGATGCTAGTGATGGGACTTTTGATCCAAGGGCTTCTTGGACTTACAAGAAACCCCCCATGGAAATAAATTCACTAATTTTTTGGGAATTTTTTCCGCATGTTACTGTGTTTTTATAATTTTACTTATTATAACCTGTTTCCTAAATAACCCTTTTAAATGCATCGTTCCCCGAAAACCATTAAAGGCGGGTTTTCCCTTTCCCCAGGCGTTTTATAACCCCACACGGAATTACTCTACCCATGGAAAAAGTAAAACGTAGTAAGTACCTAAATAAACTTAAATACCTACAGCACATGGGAAATGGAAGTCAGTCAGAATTAGTGCAAGTTAAGGTGAAGACAAGTGAAATAACTTATCAAAATCCCCTCGTCAACATCAAAGAACCTCTGAGGGGACAGCGAGTTGGAGATACCATCTCCTTTCCTCGGATCAAACCAAATTAACCCCATTCCCAGTGCTTTGATCATTGCAGATTTAGTATTTCCCTTTGAATATGAAAACAATCATCATTTATTTTTCGTACAGCAGTTTAACCTTTAAAGTGTTTGTATATTTAACATTTTTTTAGTTGTGCAAATAACTTTAAAATAAACTAGGATGTCATTAAATATTTATGCACGTGTGTGTGTGATAATTGTATTAGCCCAAAGATTGGTAAGTTGATACCCGTGTATGTATAGTAATAGCTGATACAATCTTAGGTTACAGTGGCACAGATAAAAATGACTGGTGAGTAGTTAAAAATACCTTCTAACCTAACCTAACCAACATTCATGCCTACTCAATATTACCTAACTTTACCAGCATCCATACCTAACTTCACCTAACCTAGCAACCAGGATCCATACCTAACTTAACCAGCATCCATACTTAACCTAACCACCAAACCTAATCAGTATCCATACCTAGCCTATCCAGCATCTGTACCTACCTTAACCTAACCAGCATCCATACCTAACCTTACCTAACCTAACCAAACCACCATCCATACCTAACCTAACTTAACCAGCATCCATACCTAACCTTACTAGCATCCATACCTAACTTAACCTAACCAGAATCCATGCCTAGCTTGACTTAACTAGCATCCATACCTAAACTAACCAGCATCCATACCTAACCTAACCCAAACCTAACCTAACCAGCATCCATACCTAACCTTACCTAACCTAACCAGCATCCATACCTACCCTAAACTAACCAGCATCCATACCTAACTTAACCTAACCAGCATCCATACCTAACTTAACCTAACCAGCATCCCTGCCTAGCTTAATCTATATGGCATCCATACCTAACCTAACCAGCATCCATGCCTAGCTTAACCAAACCTGCATCCATACCTAACCTAACCAGCATCCATGCCTAGTTTAACCTAACCTGCATTCACACCTAAATTAACCAGCATCTGTACCTAACTTAACCTAACCATCATCCATACCTAACTTAACCTAATCAACATCCATACCTAACCTAACCAGCATCAGTACCTAACCTAACCAGCATCAGTGCCTAACCTAACCAGCATCAGTGCCTAACCTAACCAGCATCAGTACCTAACCTAACCAGCATCTGTACCTGACTTAACCTAACCAGCATTTGTACCTAACCTAACCAGCAGCCGCACCTAACCTAACATAACCAGCATCCATACTTAACCAACATCTGTACCTAACCTGACCAGTATCCCTACCAAACCTAAATAATATCCATACCTAACTTAACCAGCATCTGTACCTAACTTAACCTAACCAGTATCCATACCTAACTTAACTAGCATGCCTACCTAACTTAACCAGCAATCCTACCTAACCAGCATCCAGTCCTAGCCGAACTGAATCCGACATCAGTACCAAACTTAACATAATAACTTTGAAGTTACTCATTTCTAATTATTTTGCATTGAAAACTTTAATTCTGCAATTAACGTTATTTTTTTATTCTTTCTGTCAGATGGGATTAAATGATAAACAAATATTGTAGTTTTTATCACCATGTTGTGGAAGTATGAAAGTACTGGTATTAAAATTCTTTGATAAGTTGTTCAGTAAAAGTAGAATATCTTTAATTTTCTTGTAGTCTAAATTTCTCAACTCGAATCTTATTTCCACTTCAGTATAGTGAACTGAGAGCTTCCATGTCAGAATTCATTGGTTCAAACCTAAAAAAGTGTTATTGATGAAGCTTTATTTGACACATTACAACATTTATCTGAAATAGTACAGAAGCACAGTAATAATTGAATGAAGAAACATGATAATATAGCATACAATGAACATAAACTGCCTTTATTCCCCAATGATAGTATTATCATATTTGTGAAATTCTTTTAATTTTTGATATACATTTCATATACTGTATTAAATATAGTGGCATAAATTGTATTATTACTGTTTGCAAAGTCGGTTCCTGATCAGCCGGGCTGTGGCTCGTACGTTGGTTTGCGTGCAGCCAGCAGTAACAGCCTGGTTGATCAGGCTCTGATCCACCAGGAGGCCTGGTCACAGACCGGGCCGCGGGGGCGTTGACCCCCGAAACTCTCTCCAGGTAAACTCTAGGTTTGTATCACTGACATTTTAACTTTTGGCCAAGGTTCTATTTTTTATAGGTTTCGTAATTATGCATAAAGCTTGAAAACGTTAGTTCTACATGATATCCATGCATGTACTAACTGATATTCTTTTCAAGTACATGCACTGATACCTCTCTGTGCTAGCTCGGTGCTTCTCAAACTTTCCAGTTTATTGAATGGGTGATTTGTTTTTCAGTGTGCCAGGGACCAGTGTAATGTTTCGAACTTGGAGATATTAAAGGAGAGGAATGGGAAAACTTCTTATTTATAATGAGAATTTTAGAATATTGCATTCAGTTGAGAAAAATAAGCAAAATATTAGTAATAGATAATGAAAAAGGTAAGCCTGCTTTTTATTAAACAGTGGACTTGTTGTACTGAGGACTGGTGATTGGCTGTGGTTCATGGACCACCACTTTGAGGAGTGCTGTGCTAGCTGATGTCCATGTACAGTACTAGCTAATATCAGTTTATGTGCTAAATGTTTGTAGTAACTAGTCTTTTCTTGACAGGAACAAATTGAGATTATCTTCATGGTGATCTTCACACTTGAGTGCTTTATGAAGATCATAGCATACGGGTTTGTCCTCCATCCAGGAGCTTATATAAGAAGTGTATGGAATACTTTAGATTTCCTCATTGTCGTCATAGGGTAAGTTGCTAAATGGTGTTACAGTACCATAATATATGTAATTATAGAAATTTGGGCATGCATAGAATTGAATAGGGGTATTAGGTATTGCATTTTCCTTCAGTGGAAAATGGAGAATCTATGATAATCAGCGTGTGAGGCATAATGATGTTCAAACACAAATTGGAAAAAAATGAAAACAGAATTAAAATATGATACTTACCATTGACTGTAGTTATTCTTTTTCAAATCCAGTACACACATTTTCAGGTTCCATGAAACTTTAATAGAAACTGCAACCTCTCTGTATAATATAACACTGGTAAGAAACTCTTAAATAATTTTTTCATCTAGTTTGAACCACATTTTCCCATGTACAGTTGAACCTTGGCTTACGAATGCTCCACCATGCGAATTTTTCAGGATACGAACAGTCGCCCGGTCGATTTTTTGCTTCTGGATATGAACGAAATTTCAGGATGTGAACTTCCCCCTCATGGGAGGTTCCTTAAATAAATAAATAAATAAAATATTTATTTCTTTGCAAAGGTGTGTTTACATACTATATGATAGGAGCAAAGAAAGCCACTATCATGCCGAGGCATTTCGGGCAGACTTAACCTAATACACTTATAGACTACTAAAGTCTAGACATGTGAAAAGTGGTAGCTGTTACCAATGTTTTGTGCTGATTGTGGCGCCAACTACTGGCCGCCTTCTGAATTTCTCCTTACTGTTATTGCATATTATTATTATTATAACAATAATTATTATTCTTATTATTAGTATGTACATGGTGAAGTCTGAATGTGCGTGGATATTGTGCAAATGATAAGAAAGAGATGATTGTGGATGTTATGAATGAGAAGAAGCTGGATGTCCTGGCTTTAAGTGAAACGAAGCTGAAGGGGGTGGGAGAGTTTCAATGGACAGGAATAAATGGGATTAGGTCAGGGGCAAATTTCCGCGCGCGCTCACCGAAAAATCGAAAAAATATGGAAATTGAGTTTTATATACTGAAAAATAGCTCAACTCTTTGGCAACACAATGGTACCAGAATGAATGTTCTACGACGTTTCTACAAGAAATTATAGTCATTTATATCAGGTATGGTGACGGCGATGTTGGTACCGAGTCTGCTCACGGCCCATATATATTTCGGAGTTGTTTCCTTGTTTTTTATCACCTTTTCTTGCATTATTCTTTCTAATATAATAACTGACTATTTGGCATCATAAAACAGTAGGTGGAGCTTATCGGCAGACTTAGTGACAGCTGGGAACCAGATGGGAACGATCAGCAGTGTTCCTGCTCCCGAGGTACCAGCCAGGAATCACCCATTATTACGCTTATATCAGCTTATATATCAACTCTACAGCTTATTTGTCTATCAGAATTGATCTAATATGGTATAATAAACACTCTAAATAACATACAAACATGTTATATACTCTAGACTGAATAAAATAGGCCATAATATGGCCCAGAGATTATCGGGAATATTTCGATATAAAAGTGTAACTGGTCACCCTGTCGTCTGAGTAAGAGAAAACGGTGTTTTGAAGAGGCTAACTGCACTAGAACATCAGTTTACTAAGAGATACACCCAAACAAACGCGATTTTCGCGAAATTTTTTTTTTTTTTTTTGAGACTGGGGCCGGCCGGCGCTCTCGGCCGATATCTCGGAAGTAACTTATTCACCTAATGGCCAAGCTTTTTGCTTTATTACTGAATTAAATGGAATATAATACTCACAAAAGTTGTAGAATAATGATTTCTCCGTTTTTCGGTGACCAAATTTTGGAAATATTCCAAATACTTTGGGAGTTATGTGGGAGTAAAGGGCAGATTTTTTTGCAATATTCCAGGAACTAACAAACTTTATTCTTTTGTGAAATAAAGATAAGTTTATTTAGAGTAAAGGGCTCAACGAATATTAGTATAAGCATTGTTCTCTCGGCACCAACTGTCCAAACAACCTTACGTAGTCCCATATAAGAGAAAGCTTGGCCACAAGGGCATTTTCAGTAAATCAGTCATTTCTCAGTTGTTGTTTGAGGTATATTTTTGATAAATATTTTCAAGAAAGAGTGAAACGACTTTGTCTTGTGTACCAAAACTGGAGAAAATCGGACAGTAAACAACAAAGTTACAGATTTTGCCCTACTGCCCCCTTCAAATAGAGTTAGAGCTAAAGAAGGAGTAGCAATAATGTTGAAGGATAAGCTATGGCAGGAAAAGAGGGACTATAAATGTATTAATTCAAGGATTATGTGGAGTAAAATAAAGATTGGATGTGAAAAGTGGGTTATAGTAAGCGTGTATGCACCTGGAGAAGAAAGAAGTGTAGAGGAGAGAGAGAGAGATTTTGGGAAATGTTGAGTGAATGCGTGGGGAGTTTTGAATCAAGTGTGAGAGTAATGGTGGTTGGGGATTTCAATGCTAAAGTGGGTAAAAATGTTATGGAGGGAGTAGTAGGTAAATTTGGGGTGCCAGGGATAAATGTAAATGGGGAGCCTTTAATTGAGCTATGTGTAGAAAGAGATTTGGTAATAAGTAATACATATTTTATGAAAAAGAGGATAAATAAATATACAAGGTATGATGTAGCACGTAATGAATGTAGTTTGTTAGATTATGTATTGGTGGATAAAAGGTTGATGGGTAGGCTCCAGGATGTACATGTTTATAGAGGGGCAACTGATATATCGGATCATTATTTAGTTGTAGCTACAGTTAGAGTAAGAGGTAGATGGGAAAAGAGGAAGGTGGCAACAACAAGTAAGAGGGAGGTGAAAGTGTATAAACTAAGGGAGGAGGAAGTTCGGGGGAGATATAAGCGACTGTTGGCAGAAAGGTGGGCTAGTGCAAAGATGAGTAGTGGGGGGGGGGGGTTGAAGAGGGTTGGAATATTTTTTAAAAATGCAGTATTAGAATGTGGGGGAGAAGTTTGTGGTTTATAGGAGGGTGGGGGCAGGTGGAAAGAGGAGTGATTGGTGGAATGATGAAGTAAAGGGTGTGATAAAAGAGAAAAAGTTAGCTAATGAGAGGTTTTTTACAAACAGAAGTGTTATAAGAAGAGCAGAGTATATGGAGAGTAAAAGAAAGGTGAAGAGAGTGGTGAGAGAGTGCAAAAGGAGAGCAGATGATAGAGTGGGAGAGGCACTGTCAAGAAATTTTAATGAAAATAAGAAAAAAATTTGGAGTGAGTTAAACAAGTTAAGAAAGCCTAGGGAAAGTATGGATTTGTCAGTTAAAAACAGAGTAGGGGAGTTAGTAGATGGGAGAGGGAGGTATTAGGTAGATGGCGAGAATATTTTGAGGAACTTTTAAATGTTGAGGAAGAAAGGGAGACTGTAATTTCATGCACTGGTCAGGGAGGTTTATCATCTTTTAGGAGTGAAGAAGAGCAGAATGTAAGTGTGGGGGAGGTACGCGAGGCATTACGTAGAATGAAAGGAGGTAAAGCAGCTGGAACTGATGGGATCATGACAGAAATGTTAAAAGCAGGGGGGGATATAGTGTTGGAGTGGTTGGTACTTGTGTTTAATAAATGTAAGAAAGAGGGGAAGGTACCTAGGGATTGGCGGAGAGCATGTATAGTCCCTTTATATAAAGGGAAAGGGGACAAAAGAGATTGTAAAAATTATAGAGGAATAAGTTTATTGAGTATACCAGGAAAAGTGTACGGTAGGGTTATAATTGAAAGAATTAGAGGTAAGACAGAATGTAGGATTGCGGATGAGCAAGGAGGTTTCAGAGTGGGTAGGGGATGTGTAAATCAAGTTTTTACATTGAAGCATGTATGTGAACAGTATTTAGATAAAGGTAGGGAAGTTTTTATTGCATTTATGGATTTAGAAAAGGCATATGATAGTGGATAGGGGAGGAATGTGGCAGATGTTGCAAGTATATGGAATAGGTGGTAAGTTACTAAATGCTGTAAAGAGTTTCTATGAGGATAGTGAGGCTCAGGTTAGGGTGTGTAGAAGAGAGGGAGACTACTTCCCGGTAAAAGTAGGTCTTAGACAGGGATGTGTAATGTCACCATGGTTGTTTAATATATTTATAGATGGGGTTGTAAAAGAAGTAAATGCTAGGGTGTTCGGGAGAGGGGTGGGATTAAATTATGGGGAATCAAATTCAAAATGGGAATTAACACAGTTACTTTTTGCTGATGATACTGTGCTTATGGGAGATTCTAAAGAAAAATTGCAAAGGTTAGTGGATGAGTTTGGGAATGTGTGTAAAGGTAGAAAGTTGAAAGTGAACATAGAAAAGAGCAAGGTGATGAGGGTATCAAATGATTTAGATAAAGAAAAATTGGATATCAAATTGGGGAGGAGAAGTATGGAAGAAGTGAATGTTTTCAGATACTTGGGAGTTGACTTGTCGCCAGATGGATTTATGAAGGATGAGGTTAATCATAGAATTGATGAGGGAAAAAAGGCGAGTGGTGCATTGAGGTATATGTGGAGTCAAAAAACGTTATCTATGGAGGCAAAGAAGGGAATGTATGAAAGTATAGTAGTACCATCACTCTTATATGGGTGTGAAGCTTGGGTGGTAAATGCAGCAGCGAGGAGACGGTTGGAGGCAGTGGAGATGTCCTGTCTAAGGGCAATGTGTGGTGTAAATATTATGCAGAAAATTCGGAGTGTGGAAATTAGGAGGTGTGGAGTTAATAAAAGTATTAGTCAGAGGGCAGAAGAGGGGTTGTTGAGGTGGTTTGGTTATTTAGAGAGAATGGATCAAAGTAGAATGACATGGAAAGCATATAAATCTATAGGGGAAGGAAGGCGAGGTAGGGGTCGTCCTCGAAAGGGCTGGAGAGAGGGGGTAAAGGAGGTTTTGTGGGCAAGGGGCTTGGACTTCCAGCAAGCGTGCGTGAGCGTGTTAGATAGGAGTGAATGGAGACGAATGGTACTTGGGACCTGACGATCTGTTGGAGTGTGAGCAGGGTAATATTTAGTGAAGGGATTCAGGGAAACCAGTTATTTTCATATAGTCGGACTTGAGT